CCTCTACTCCAACCGGAAGTCATCCTTATGCGCCCTTACAAAGTCCACCGCCTCTTTCTTCATCTCCGATACCACAACAACCGCAACCTCCTCAATCTGCTCCACCGTTACATCAGCATACTCGATTCCAAGGTTTATTTCAGATGCAATTAAAAATTATATATTTTATACTTGATTAAGAAAAATGAAATTTTTAAACGAATTATAATCTCTCCGTTTGTTGTATTGCAGATGGCGATTTGTTTTCAGAAGTTGGTGATATTACACCTACTTTACCACCAAAACAATCTGCATCTTCGACACCAACAGGATCTATTATTATTCCTAGACCGCCATCTCGAAAAGGCGAAGGACCATCTCCAAGAGGAAGGATGTCACCTGCTACTATATCTCGAGCGGATAGTGTAGCAAGTTTAGAATTTCGTACAGCAGGAGTTGGAGTAGGATCTTCTCGAGGACCCTCACCACTTACTATCGGCCTTGCCGATACCATTCCCCTAGCTGTGGCGTTTCATGAAATAGTTCATTCCTATTTTAAAGGCACTGACGAAACTCGATGCCAGGTCAAACTCAGCGGAGACATGATGTTGTCATTTCCTGCTGGCATTGTGGCAGTATTAGCAAATAATCCAAGTCCAGCTAAGCTTACTTTCCGTGTGAGAAATAGCAATAGATTGGAAAGATTGCTTCCTAATAGTCAACTCGTCAGCATGTAAGTAAGTCCTGGTTTTTAACAATAAGAATGTTTCTGATTATTATTTCATACATGCACTCATCTCTTTTGATAAGTTTCTTCAGAAATAATTTGTTCTTTTCTTTATTTTTTAGGGATGCAACTCAAACTACCGTTGATAGTACAATTTTCGAGTTTAATATGAGTGCCTTAACTACATTGTTACGACGACAGGCAGAACAAAATCCGTCGGCCTCCTATTTTAATGTAGATATTCTGAAATATCAAATAAAATGCAAAGAAGGCGCGGGTTCTTGTCCCTTTCAATTAGTTGCATATTGGAAATGTGAATCGACTCATACCGATCTGAAGGTGTTTATCTTATTTGTTCCATCTATCACAAGTATGATTTAGAAATATTATAAAATTTAATAAATAATGATTAACATTGTTTTCTCTTAGATCGATTATAAATACAATAGCCGTGCAATGGCCTCACCGAGCCCACTGTTAAATCTTCACGTGGCAGCACCTATCGATGGTGGTTTTAAGACTCTTAATAGTAAACCAATAGCGCAATGGCTCGCAGATACAAATCGCGTATTATGGAAATTTACTGAACTGTCACAACATAGCGAAGGTAATGGTGTGGGTTCCTTGAAAGCAAGGGTTGAACTCGAACGTGGGCCAGGTACTCAGGGAACCATATTTACTCAATTTAATTGCGAGGGGACCACACTGTCTGGCGTTGAATTTGAACTTCTAGGCCCTGGTTATAGACTAAGTTTAGTAAAACGCAGATTTGTGTCTGGTAAGTATAATTATTTTGTCTTTGTAAATAATATTCATTAAAAAATATGTAACGTTATTATATATGTAAAGTTTTATAATTGTAATTTATAATACACGAAAGTAATGTATATATTTTATTTATATATATATATATATATATATTTTTAATATATTATATATTACTTTTGCATATATTATTACATATAAATATATTTATTATATATAATATTTAAATATTTAAAAAAAATTAATATTTAAGATATATATATATATATATATATATATATATATATTATTTTATATATACAAAATTGTTATAATCGTAGGAAAATATATATGTGATGGAGATTCCGATGCGCGTACAAGATATGCTGCACCACCATCCAACACAGTCTGACAATTTCCAGAATGGATAGCTCAGTGGGGAAAGCTGCCGATTTAATATTGGTACTTGCTTATTCACTCACTGCCTACATCAGGGCATATTCAAAGTTTAAACTTTAAATCTACGCGAAAGAAATTGTTGGATGCCAAGGAATATATGTGATAATTCCACATTCGTAAGAGGCATAACTATTCTATAAGCAAAAACATTTTATTCATTCTGACGATTTTTTTTCTTATGTATTTCTTTAGTTTTTTTTCTTCTTTTGTTTTTTGATTTGTAAAAAAATATAAAACATTGAGATTAATTGTGTTTAATTATTTAAATAATGTAAGAATATATTAGCTACATATAAACTTTGGTATCCAGCATATTTTCGCAGCAATACTCGCCAGTTTTAATCTCTTTTCATAATCAAAATGTGTAATATGAATGTTTTTACATGAAGGCTCAGCTAACATACAGCAGTAAAATATTTTTATCTTCTTAAATTTTTCGTTATTTTGTTGTAGACATCACATTATTATAAATGAGATACCGTTAGGAACTTTAAAGTAAAACGAAATATTTGTATACTTAGCAGGAAGGTGTATATACACATACATATATATATACTCAAATGTAATTTTCAATAGAAAAGAAATTATAATTGTGTACAGAAAGCTTTTGTGCAAAAATCGTTTATAAGATAATTCATTTTATGGACTACAAACGATGACAAAAGTCACTTTTGTTGTAAAACTTGTTAAGATTGTCATGCGTTATTCTAAGATGAATCTGGATAAAGTTTAGATAAAAGTATATTCACTCTAAAATGATAGATTACTAATTTAATGACTAAATGGAGTAGCTTTAATGATATATCTTTACCATATGCAGTTTGATAAGTAAAGAATGATTTGTAAAAATGTTTGATGAAAATCTAATGTTATGCAAGAACCAAAGGTTTCTCACTCCTTTAACAGTTTGAGTTAAGAAATTCTTGATAGTATTTATGCTTACAAAGGTCTTCAATATTCTTTGTTATCATTTCACGAGATACGTAACTTTATATATATATATAGAGAGAGAGAGAAAGATTTTTTATATATCATCATTAATTACTGTTGTAATAAATCAACATTAATTTCTCGAATAATTATGTCAAGTATTACTTTTGCATTTATGCCGAAATCACTTGCCTAGTTGCCTTGAAATACCATATTACATATTATTCAGTTAAATTTTAAGTTAAGTTTGTTAAATGAAAGAGATTTTTCAAATTGTTCTATTTCCTGAGAAACATTCTATACATTATTTTTTAATAAATCGCATATCAATGAATTGTTCTTTTGTTAAGCTGCATATATCTATATATATATATGTATATTTATATATATATATATATATATATTTTCACAATTTTTTTTTACCAAATATGATTTAAACCAATGCCTGTATTCTTTACTGCGTCATACTATATATGGATGGTAATATGAAATGGTAACGTATATTAATGTGCAAGCTATATGGATTTGACAAATTAGTTGTGCTTAATTACGTTACTATAAAACTAACTTGTGTAATCACAAATTAGATTTCATTGTGGGACTTTATGTATAACATCATTCTTTGGCCAATTTATTTGATACGTAACAGATACTTCCGTATCTATTGTTATAAAAAAAAAAATCTAACAACAAAAAGAAGCTTTGATCATTAATGTTCCTATAATATGTATACAGGATGTTTCATAATGAATGTAAAAAAAAAATCATAGTTTGTTGAGAAAGTCATTTTATGGAAAAAATGTCCTATGAACATAGGTCTTATACTAAAAAGTATCATAACTAGTAGTATATCAAAGTTTTATTGTGAATTTATTATAGTAGTAATAAAACTTTGATATACAGTAATAACTTCATAGAATTGGACCTATGTTTAGATTATATTTTTTTCTAAATGATTTATATATGCATATACAGAATGTCATGAGGTAAGTTTTAGGCGGAATAGCGGCAGAACTATAATAGCAAAAATAGTAAAAAATCTATAAAAATTTATTTTTATTATTTTTTAAACTTTGAAATTCAGAATTTTTTTTAATGAAATATTATTTTATATATTTTAATAAATATTACCGTCTGATGTCAAGTTTACAATTATTTTTGAGCAAAATATAGCTCAATAAATTATAATATGTACTATATAAATCTTTTATTATTTATATTTTCCAGTTGTGTAAAATAATCACGTGTTTTTTTTTTTCATTTTAATCTGATTTGCATTTCATAATTTAAAATGTCAAATTGGAATTACATTTATTATTTTTTACACTTTATTTATTAAAAATATTTTAATAGTTTTTTTTATAAAAAATAAAAATAATTTAATTTCTATCATCTTTATCATATTTTCAATGCAAAATATCTATTTCGACTAATATTATTTCGAGACATCCTGTATATTTGTATATGTGTATGTATTTCATTTTTATCCAAAAATTTTTTTCGTTAATATGCGATACTCATTCTATTTTATCGAGAGAAGTAATACTAAATAACGATGGCATTAGTAACCACTCCATTTGCTATGATTCTTCATAAACCGAAAGACTTGCATTAAATTTATTAATTTTCATCAACTAAACCTTTAATTAAGACAGTATTATTAATACTTGTTCTTATTAGTTCTATACTATATATTAAAACGATTACATATTAATGACATTATTATTAATAATTAACTTTATATAATTTGTACTTAGACGATTTAACGTCATATGTTTATCACATTAATTTTAATATATCTATATCATAATTTTATCACACATAATGATGGAGTGGTTTCCGATGAATCGACTGAGCTCCCTGTGATATGCAGATGTCACTATAATTTCGTAATAAACATTTGTACAACATGTACGGAAAAGACAATTATTTATACAACCTAATCCTAATTAATCTTATTATTTTTTCAATTATCTATTTATAATATTATTTTCAGCTTAACTGTTTACAATACACATTGAGAATACATCTTATAATGGGAGTTTATCCTCCCTGTTAATAGGCAACATTTTATACATACATGCATGAACGTGAAATTATATGTATGTAAACACGAATAAGCGATATAAATTTTTTATTATATACATATATATATATATATATAAAACGTATAATATACAACACATAACATACACATGCGTATATAGTATAGACAAATAACAATTAGGATTTTAAAAAGTTCTTTTGATAAAAATTTAATGAACTTCATTTTCTTGCTTATTCGTTTTATTTGATGCATGTTTCAATTCTGCAGATAAGATTGTAAATTCTTCAGAAATGTAACGCAAAATTCTTCGTTCATATTCTTGTCTCTTCATATAAGCAAGTGCTTCCTAAATTAAATAATCGAATATTAATAATATGTGAATAGCAATGTATGTACATACAAATTTTTGTGTATCTAAATATATATAGTAGAATATAGATTATCCGATTATTATATCCCCAATGGGATTTCAATAAAAAATTGGACGAAAATCCTAATTTCAGAACAAGTAATGGCTAGTTATCAAAATTTATATCTCGACACGATATCTACGACAATTAAATATTTACGGAAAAAAATATTTCGAAGCGTTTCAGGCTTTAAAAATAGAACTGAGATAGTAGGAGACATAAAACTAATGTAATTTTATAAAATTATATCTATTAAAAAAAATTGTAATTCAGCAGTTAAAAAAATTTGGAAAAAAAATAACGGTTCTATTATCCAAAAATATCCTTATTCAAATCCATAACCAAGATTCTACTATATATATATATATATATATATATATATATATATATATATATATATATATATAGTACATTTTCTCTTATACTTTCTAAAAAAATAAAGTCATAAGGTTACCTCTCTTGGGGCAAAATATTCCTTTTTTACTTTCGGTAATCCAAGATAATATTTTTTATTGTTTAACATTGTTTCATCAACTGGATCAAATAATAAATAGCTTTCAACTGCTTTTGCTGCTGCTGCTAAATTTCCTACTACATAAACAGTATATGTTAAAAATGTTCATTACATATATTAATTTATACTTACAATTATTTTAAGATATTTACATTTATAATAAGCAAATTGTAAGTAATTATAATGGCTTCTAAGTAGATCATCTCGATTTTCTCCATTCACATAATTAAGCAGACGCGAACAGCTACGTTTACATTTCAAAGAGTAAGTAAAATGATCTAAAAAATATAATTTTCTATTATTAGTGTTCTTTCAATTATTTTTACTTTATAAGGAACTTAACATTCATTCAATGTTTTAATTTCTATTTACACACACACACACACACACACACAATTATTATATATATATATATATATATATATATATATATATATATATATATATATAAATTTATAGTTAATATTACTTGCTAATAAGGATGTGAATTCAGGATGCCATCCTTGGTCGAAAGGTCCTTCGCAATAGATTCTACATTCGTTTTCCAAATTCAAGTAATCTCGCAAAGAATTTTCAAACAATTTAACTGACTCCTTATAATTTTCTTTTTCATATTCTGACACACCAGTAGTATAAGGAATTAAGAAATGTGACATCTCCAAATTGGAAACATTATCCGCATGTACACCTGGTAAGGTGAGATAGTATTTCAAATTGTTAGCACTCATATTATGGTGCGGATGCATAACCAAAAAAGTGAAGACTGCATTAGCTGCATCTTGGAAATGATTTTTCTATGCGTAATTAAAGAATTATTAGAAATATGTCAAAAATAATATTTGTACATTTTAAATAAATTTGTTTTCAATAGATCTAAATAAAATTATTTTTTATTAAATATTATTTTGTATTATAAATATTATAAGAATAACTATAATTACTTTGTTACCTGATAATAACATATATGCAAATATTCATAAACACGATGTTCTATGAACTTCCTTTCTATATCAATAGGTAATCGTTTAATTTTTTGCTTGTTAGCAATATCCTTATAATCTTGATTACACTTCATTAAACAAAGTGTCTCGCGTACTTTTTTTTCATAAAAATGTAAATCTTCTATATTCTCTGGATAAAATGGTTGCCACCCTTCTGCTTCCATTGCACAATTTCTTCGACATTTTATTAATGTTTGTTTGTAGATTTTATACCTGTATACAAATAATTTTTATAAAAAAATCATAAGCAATGGCATATGTTATTTAATAAAAGAATTATCGGTTTATTGACTCTGATACGTAAACACAATAAAGATATTAAACAACAATAATTTGTATAAGAAATCATTCATTTGCAATATTTATGTATAGTAACTTTTACTAATAATATTAAATATTATAAATATATAATAAAATTATATATTATAAAAATCAATATATGTGATACAAACAGTTTTGTCATTCTAGGATCCAACAATCGAATTTTAACGATTAAAAATAATTTAATTAAAAATATCTACCTTGTTTTTTTTTATGATCGATAATCAATTGAATGAGTAAGATACATATTATCAATAATATGTTATTAAAAACGTACCCACGTAAAGCCTTGGTAAATCTTTTAATACATTCATCCCATTCTTCGTTTAGATATGCTTCCACAGCACTCTCGTATAACTCCGACAATGTCAAATTTGTATCTATGTTTTGAAGGAACGTTCGATTTATATAAAAACATAACCTTCCTACATTTCAAAAATCTTACCGAAATCTACATCAGCGATTGTCCACGTCAAATAGGACAATATTAATAAAACTACATGGGCTTTCATGTCACCAAAGATCAAATTTATATGTTACGTTTTAATCACTTCAATTGAATTATCTATTAACGATGATGATGATGATGATGTTGAAAGAAATAATATAGATACAGAAAAGACAATCTATTACTGCCATATGTATGTATGTGTATATATATATAAAATGCACTCCATAGGAAAGATTACCACATGTGTGTGTATACAAAACCACATACACACATACACATACACATTCGATGATCTAGACCTACTTATCTTCTTAAAAGACTATATAGCTGCAATATTTCCAAGATATGCATTTAATTCGTTCATTCATTATATGACAAAATTTTCCCTTAATTTCATATCATTCAAGGAGTACAGATTCAAATAAACGACATTAAGCATTCTTGAAGCATTCTACGATCAATACTATATTGAAGTTAAAAATGTTATGTTATATATCATTATATGTATATCAGGCCACATATTCTATATATATAGAATTGTCCGATTAATATAAGTCGATGTGTGCGCGAATGTGTACCTTTAAGTACACTCTGCCTCAATGATGATTGCGTTCGTGTATTGATAAGAATATCCCAGAAAGTTTCCTCCGAGCAATTTCACAATATTTCTGAGATCATTACAAAAGACAAGTTCATTAGTCAATAGCACTGTTCCTTCTGAATACAATCAGTGAAACAGAGTATACTAGTGCAGTCATTAATAATATATCCTTCAATTATAAAAGTGAGACTCATACATAATATTAAATTTACTTATGTATGTGTGTACTTATATACGCACATATAGTTGAATTAAATTATTATTATCATGTTATTTCCATAAAATTAATTATAAGTTTGTAATACATTTTGTATGTATGTATACATATACATTCATTTTGTATACATATACATATATGTCAATATATATGTATGTAAATATATTACATACATATCAATTTGACAAGTAATATTTTTTAAGAAATATGTTATAAATTATATTGACTGGACACACGATGAAGTCAATAATTCTTTCGATATTTCCCACATTCAATAATACATTGGGAAATAAAACTGACGATAATTAAAAATTGCAGTGTGTTATCATTTAAAGTTTAAATATCTTATAATTGTAAATTCGTATTTCGAATTTAATTTTATATTTAATATATACGTAATATAATGGCGCGTCTCAACGATCACAGATTTTACGAATTATTTTTGACTACCATACAATATAACAAATTATAAAGTTTCTAAATCTAAGTTTTTTTTTTCTTTTCTTTAAATATACCCAACAAACTTTATTAACTTAAATAAAAATTCAAAATTCTTGGAATTCTTTAAGGTACTTTTTTTTTATTTTTGCTTATTTTGATCTTATTTTTTTTTGTTTTACTAAGCGTATGGCGGGACAAAGCTATTCTAAAATGTCGGTAATTTACTCCTTTATAAACAATTATTTAATGGAAGCGTATAACTTTCGACACAAATATTTTTTTTTAATTGTAACTAGCTATGAGCTCAATTTAACAAATTTGACTTGGACAATGGTATAGCAAGAGAATAGTTAAGAGTATTATCACACAGATTGATATCTCAAACGACGTATAGACTTATACACGATACATAATACTTTTACAGTTACGACAAATGACTCTCTTTCTTTCTCTCCATGGATTTCATTTTCACATCAAAAACACGAAATGGAGATTTTCCTTATTTTTTTTTCCTTTTTCCTTTTTTTCAACAAGCATTATTGATTATAGTCAAATATTGATGCTTTTTGCTACTAAGTTTTATACTAAACCTATTTCTAAAAACAGTTTTTCAAAGTAAATGGTTGCGCGCACACATAATTAGGTATTTTTTTTCTCACTTACAAACTCACTGTCTTCACACGAACGTATTGAATCGTCACGATTTATCGAGTTATCTAAAGTATCGACTTTATATTTCTTTAATATTTTCCGACACTCTTGAGTGTTATCTACACTATTCTTGCTAGAAGTTGATTGTTCGAGAGCACCCAAATTAAATGAAGTTAATTTGATCTCCGTTTCATTACGTTTCAATTGTTTTTGTTCTAACGTCATTGGAGATACACCATGAGATATCAGTGTACTCGGTGTTTCATTTTGATGAACGTCTTTTATTGCTTCATTATTTCGTGATTCTAGATTACTCACACTGATTTCGTTAGAATAAACACTGCGGGATTCGTTATTGTAAGTTACATTTTTATCTCCTAATGATATTCGATCATTACGTGCATCATTTTTCTCATTTTTCTCCACAGGCACCATGACTTCTTTAGATGTATAATCATCGCTTTTAGTTCCAGTTGGCGAATCTTTTTCTTCTGCTATTCTTGGTAACTGTGTACTTCCACAAGCATTAGATATACCGACGTTTGCTATATTAATCGATATACCATGTGTTAATTTAGGATAATCGACTACGTTTTTCGGTTCTGTACACACTTTCTTCTCGCCTTTTATATCACTGCTTTCTTTATTCATTATTTCATTAGCCTCTTCAGAAATTTCAGCATGAGACGTTTGAGCAATTGTCACACGTGGTGTTACTTTTACGACGGTATTTGCCAATGGCGATATCGATGTTTTATTTTCTGCTGAACGAGGATGCAATCTATCAGGACTGAGAGCTCTTCTTAAAAGTGGTGACCCTGGTTCTGCTGATTTTGGACGTCCATAACCTTTCTTCTGACTACTAGGTGCTGACAAACAGACACCTAAATCATAAATTAAACAAACGATTTATATCACAATACCAATTATGTCCAAGTATTTATAATAAAAATATAGTTTTAGTAATACCTGGACTATATGATTGCGTAGTATTAGAACTACCAGGTTGGTGTCCTGTGGGAAATGCTAAAGGACTTGGACTTCTTGTTGGACTAGCAGGGAGTGGCGATGGACTGGGAGTTCTAGCTAAAGGAGATAAAGGTATGTGCCCTACAGACTTCCTACGATTAGGAGAATGGATATTTTTTGCAGCTGTATGTAATTTATGCTTTAAACCATGCAAAGTACTTGGTCTTTGATAATGTGATTGATTTGACAAATTTCCAATAGAAATATTAGAACCCGGTGAAGAGGAATTTGGACTTGAACATGGACTTGAATTACCAGTTGAATGATAGGATTCTGAATTAGTACGATTTGTTGGTGGAGAAGGACTACAGACGGATTTTGTACATGCACCATAATAAGGTGTAATTTCTTGAGAACGTGTGAAGGATTGGAAAGATCGACTAGAGGTCACCATTGAAGGTGAACAAATTCCTGCAGCCATCTGAAAGAATGTAGTATATTTCAAATGTCTGATGTCATAATATTTTGCCTTATACTTGTTTAAAAGCGTAGTATGTGTTGGATGCGCGCATTTCTGTAAAATGGACGCATATGTCAATGAAAATAAATTTATCTGTATATTTCAATGGTGGTATAAGAAGCTTTGGTATAAATATGAATCAAATAATGAATAACATATATTCAACAGAATAAAAAAAAAAATAAAAAAATAAAAAAAAATAAAAAAAAAGAAATAATAATAAATAAATTAATAAATAAATCAATTGCCAAAAGGTATACAAAGCTAAAAAATGTATAAAAGAAATCATACCATAAGTGGAGGTTTGTTGTCACTGGACAGAATGGGTGCTGACAATGGACAATTGATACTTAATGGCTGCAATAAAACATAAAATGCACTTAACGTAACGAGTGTGTAGCTTGTATTATGTTGTTTGCTTAATTTCTCTGGCACTGATGTGTGCAAAAAAAATGCAGTGAAGTTTAAGCACTATGCTACTATTAAAATATCTTAAAGTTGTAATATGTGAAACATAAAAGTTGCTGTATATATGTATAATAATTTGATACAATAAATCAAGAAAATTAGGAAAAGAATGACAATTCTCATGTATACCTGTTGCATTTCTACACTAGCACGTTTCGAACTTATTCGTTTAAAAAGAGATGTTTTTCGTTTCTTGTCAGAAAGCTCTCTTTTTTGTTTCCTTTGTTTATGAAATGTTCTGCGTGCCATTTTACTCTGAGTGAGATCTCTTTTTCTACCACCAGATTTAATACTGGTATTTTCTAAAGGTGTACTACGTAAAGTGACGTGATCACCGCCACTCAGCATTAACTGGAGAACTTGAGTGTGATATAACCCTTGTACATGTTCTCCATTTATATGCGTTATCAAATCCCCTGGCCTCAAACCAGCTTCAAATGCTGGACTTGACTGATCAACTGCCTACAGTTGAATAAATATATTTTTACAGTTAAAATTATAGTTGAATGTATAAATTTTAATATTTATACTTTTTCAACTAAATGAATGAATTAAGTTCCAGATAAAATATATTGTGGACATACCATTACTAAATGATGCATAGTGTAAAAATCGCTATCACCGTAATAGACTCTGATGGTATGTACGGTGAAACCAAATCCACATGGTCCTCTTCTTATAATAATGGGAGGTTTCAAACTGGTTACAAGAGGACTTAATTCTCGACATGGAGATGTATCTCTCGAAGAAGCAGTAGAAGATCCACCAGGTGACTCAATAGATTGATTACTGACTATTGAATCATCTAAAAGTATAGATATATTAAGTAATAAATGTAATAATATAATTCTAATGAACAATATCAATAAATATTTAAAACAATGATTGTAAAATTTTATAAAAATTATTATTTAGATACATACAAGTAAATTCACTAGTTGGTATTACTAGTGACAAGCCACTAGTCGATGCAGACTTAATAACAGACCTTGACTTTGACTTATTTGCCGGTAAAATGGGAACTGCATTATAAGATTCAAAGGAATCGGTACTGGAATTATGTTTATCCTCGAGGATCTCCTTATTCGCTGCTGTTAAATCCAACCTATAAATATATAACATATATATAAGTAAATAATTTATTTTATATTAACCAAAATCATGGTGATGAAAAGAAATGAATAGGAAATTGGATTCGTAACATTGTTTGATTGAATATTTAATAATATCGACTAATCATTGAACAGAAAAGAAAATAAGGGAAGAATCATTGTAAAATAAAATCCATATAATAGAACAACAGGGAGGAAACTATTGATTTACGTATATATTGGCAAGGATATAGGTCAAATGACTCACATGTGCTCATCATCAATAGGAATACTGAACCTGGGCAGCTTATCACGAGAATGTGTGTGACGTTTCCTTTGTATTTGTGGGCTGATGTCTTCGGATTCTGTTTGTGAAGAATCTGGTGTACTCAAATTAATAGAAGTATTTTCTGATTGAATATTTTTAACCACAGTTAATTGAGATTCATTGCTTCCAGTAGAAGTAGAACCAATAGATGATATATTTGACTTTATAGGCCTATTTAGATTTTCGACACATGGAGTCGTCTTGACAGAAAAAAACGACCGATTTTTCTCTGAATTTTGACTCGTTTCTAAGAGTTTGGATGGAGTAGTAGTAGTAGTAACAGATGTATTCGATACAAGTGAAAGTTGTGAAACTGTGCTTTCTAAGTCAGTATGGAAAGGTTGTTTTTTAGAATCCACTTCTGGCTCTATATTTGTTTGCTGCGGACGGCTTTGAGAAATTTTCCGTGATTGTGGTGAATACGAAGAAAACGATCCAAATAAAGGAGAATCATCAGTGTCATCTGTATCATCGCCTATATCGTGATTATATCTATCCATACGAGCTAAAACATTATATGAAGTAATTCATGTACTTAATTAATATTTAAATATATATAAAAAGCAATTTAGTATCATGCATTATACTTTAGATATCTTACTATCAAAGTAACTCGTATCCTCA